CTGCGCAGTGGGCGCTCAGCGGGTGACGGACACCGATGCATACGCCTATCTCTGGATTCGGTTTGCTGTTGCATTTTCTCGGGGTGGATCGGGACCACGAGCTTCTTGAGACCGCTGCGGGATAGGTACAGTTTTTGGATGTCGGATTACCAAAAAACTCCCAATCAGGCGGTGACACGTCTTTCCGTCCCACTCCGTAAATTCGCTTCAGAAACAATTTTTCCTCCTGCTGGAGAGTCCCACTATTGCTCAGTCTCCGTGGGATTCGCCGCCGACAGCAGCACCGGAGCAGAGGACGACAAAGTCTGCGATGACGCGAACGTCCATCCAAGACGAATGGCCCCATACGCAGTTCCGGTTCAAGAGATCCAGCAAGTTATTTTAGGATATGGCAACAGCTCACCTCGCGAAAGATGGACACACGCTATTCTTAAGTCTGGGACAGAAACAGACCATGCCACCGGGCTCTGTCGGAGAGTCGAGTGGCCGGCCCTCAGTCGGTAACGAACAAACGGAACGAGGATCGAGCCAACGAGTCAATATGTATGCAGACTGATCAGCGGCCGGCGTTCCTTATCGATATGTATCATACGCACATATTGCGTCGATGGCGTCTCCTAGACCCCGGAGCCAGCAGGCTCTGGCGACACCATGAGACGGGAATAATTGCGTAACTTCCCACATCGGGCTCAGAATCGGACTCGGACCGGAAACGCGCATTAGATGAATCGGCAACAGAGCAACATCTAGCGACTTCAATCGATCGCGTAACGATTGCCTGCTCACTGCATTCCATGCTCTCGTGGCTCGGTCACCGACAACGCTATCGATCGGTCCCACGCAACATCATCAATGGGAATCCTGATCTCGCGATGCATTGTGACTCGCTCGAATTATTATTCGGTGGACAATGGCAGTCGGAAGGCCATCGCTCGTCCATACGAGTGGCTTCGAGGCGACTCCGGTATTTCATCAATGCGCGGAACCATTTTAATAATTCATAAAATTTGATATATTTTTTTTATATGCACGATCAGAACTGCAATGCACATCTCGCAGCGGACACCTTCACGACCGGAGCTCGCCGCCCTATATACGGAACGATGCGGCGATAAGGAATCCGATCACGACCGGTGAAAGGACGGGCTGTCTCAGAGGTTATGCACGTATGGCGGAGACGTCGGTCGCAAAGGGCCGTAAAGTGGAATTCCGTCCGGATCCTCGAGATTTCCGTGCACAACGGCGTTATGTAGGCATCTATTAAGAGTTTCCGCGACACGCTCCACAAAACCTGATGATTTGGATTTGTCGCCGCTCGGCGTCACTCGACGACCAACCCTGACTCAGAACCCTCCGTGCCGCCCGAACGCCGACGCCCCTCACTAGACCGGGAAGCCCGAATCCGGCTAGATTCCGCAAATGACTTCATTCCGTACGGAATGCGGAATCGTACTATGATTGCTGCCATCATGCCGACGAACCCGACAGCCGTTCCCAGCCCGGGCTCGAGCGAAATTCCCCTCGGAATGGATTTGCAATTCTTCGATAGTTGTTGTATCGAGTCGGCGAATTCCCTCAGCGTCTCCCGCGCAATGGGATCGGAGGAACAATTTTTCTTGCTGTTCCGTGACCAGCTCGACAAGAACACTCACTACTCGGACCTGTTCCCCGGATCGATCCCTTTCCCGCATCATCCGACCGAGCCGCGTCCTGTCCTCATCAGTCGAGCGGACGAACCTGCGAGCGACTTTCGAGAGTTTCAGCGGACGCTGGCGCACTGCTTGCTCTCATCGGAAGAGCCTCCTCCGGAGCGGCATGTAAATGGAAATAATGAGCTTCACATTGTAGTTGTCCAACGTTTGTCAATTCAGAAGTCCGTCGAAAGCTTTGCTTCGTTTCATCTTCGTCGCAATCAGCTCCCGAAAACTACGACAGAAAGGAGACCGCCGGCGGAGAGGAGGGAAGGAACGGAAAACAAACTTCAACAAACTGTGTGCTCTGAATCTTTCCTTCGAACCGTGCGGTGAAGCGTGATGTCACTCTTATCTGTATCAAGACAGCCGGGCGGTAGCTGCAACATCTTTCTTCGTTCTCCCTCCCATTCTTACTTTTCTTTCTCAACAGCAGACATCCAACGTATTCAGATTCGGCGACTTCGGATTCGACTCTAAGCCCATTTTGGAATAATATTACGGCGCCTTGTCGCTCGGAGTTGATAGGGGAAGTTCCCTCTTCGAGCACATCGACTTCTCTGTCGTCCATGATATCATTATGAGTATCAGGGAATCGATGGCAGCAATCGTCCATAGCTCATTGCTCCGAACACGATTTCCTCTCCAAACGAGAATTTCTGCCACACTTCGCTCAAGTCAAGCCGAGCCCGCGTTCTCCTCAAAGAGAACGAGCGAGTCAAGCAGTTTCCCGAGTGAATAGGCTTAATCACGCAAGGATCTCATTGCGTTTTACGGGTGCCCTATTCGCGAGAGTACCTCGGAATCCTCTTGGAGGCAGCAGTCCTAGGATTTCCTGGAGGGAAATCAGATAGAAGACTCACACATATATAAGGGTTATATTTAGAAGAGACCGTCTGCTCGCCCGGAGCGAGATGGGTGGTCCTTCGCTTGCTGGCTCCCAGCGCTCGAGAGAAACAGCCGGGAGAGGAAGCACCGGTGGCGGGGGAAATACAAACGTTAGGTTCTCGCCCCTTCGGAATTTCGGAAGACGCTCTTGAAACTTCAACGATAGAGAAAATCTTATGGAGGTCCTTCAAGCTCGCTCTCATTTCGCTTGTCCCTGAACCGCCCTCGTTCCCGAGCCTTCCGTAAGCAGGCCGGAGAGCGGAATGAGACGGTGAGGTTTTGGAGTACCATCTCGAGCAAATATGAATGCTTCGTACCGGCGGAGCATGAAAACCCGGTGGGCCCAGCCCCACGATTTTTCTCCGACCGCTGCGTGTCCTTCCGTATTCACCAGCTATGTTTCCAGAGCTCCAAGGATAGCGCTGAGAGTCCGAAAACGGGGGAAAGGGAAGGGAGACGGAAATTCCGTCGACGAAGCATTTCTGTGTTTACCGAATTACGCCCCTGACTTCCGTGATGAGGTCCGGAGCAGCCGCCCAAGAGTTGCAGCCCACGGACTCGTTGGCACGGAAGTCCCGAACTGCCTCACCGAAGGCCCGAACCCACGCTCAGTAATCTCTCCTACTGTGAGGAAAGAGGAGAAGCCGAAGGGGGAGTGATGCTGTGGGAGCGGAGAATTAATGCGGGGAATAGTCTCCGTGGTTTTCAAATCTCGAATGACTTCGTCGGAATCACGCAGTCCAGGCTGCCAGTGATCGATTCTCATGCGAGGTGAGAAGGCGTCAACAGTTTCATCCTGAGCTGGAGGGCGGGTCAACGCTGTGCACGAGCGAGACCTTCGCGAGGACGGAGGTCAAAGATTGATTGTGGGAGCGTCGTTCAGACTCACTTCCAGGCTGTCATCACTTGTCCACCGGAGCCAGCATAGTCACTCGCTAGCTCGACCTGGCAGAAGTGCGGTCAACACGAAACGAATTCATTTTTTCTCTGTATCTCCCTCTCGTTCTGTACCGCCTCTGCCTCCGATGTCCCCGTAATATAGTACGCCCGTATGACAAACGACAATTCACGTTCGACGTGCCTCTGGAAGACTCCATGATACAACCCACTCGCTTTGTCCGCCACCAGTCGACGCACGGGTCTCCTGCTGGTTTTTGCGTTGATGATCATACCGTCGGACTCCGTTGTGGCAATGGGATAATCTTCTCGCGGTATATTATTCTCGGTCGGGATGATTTCAGCTAAGAGCATGATATGATCAGCCGGACGGGAAGAACACGCACGGTCGGCATTCCACTTTTTCCGCCCACCCGCTCGTTACCGCGGTTCCTGAATAAATCCCCGACGAAGCGAATTTTTGAATTTCAGTTCCCTGTCTCTCGAGTCAGGAATTCCTTCAGGGAGGGTCCAATAGCCTCACACCATGTTGCTATCGAGTGACGATTCCCCCTCGGCCGCTCAAATATGGGTCAAGGATTCCTCTATTCTCGGATTCGCTGTCCAAATAGCGCCCGAGAACGAAGATTCAACGGAATCATAAGATCGAATGGAAGATTCGCTCCGAGGCAGCCGGACACGGGCAAGTAGGTCATTCGACCGTGATTTATTCCCTTAATATTCCCTATGATCGAGGATCTCCCGTCGCTTGCTTATGCATGGTTCAACACATGGCCACACTTCACATGTTTTAGAGCGCGTATTGTTTTCCTTATGCAGCCATGCAATCATATGTTCGCAGCAAAAAAGTTTCCGTCTCTCGTTTTTGTCAGCCCTAACAAGGTCCTTCGAGAGTCAGGAACTTGACAAACAAGGGGAGACTGTTCCACTGACGCAGAAACAGCTAAGAAAAACTGCATGGCCACGGTACAACGTGTGCCTCTTGCCAGGCTTCCGTTGCTTCGATCGTTTCCCTAGCAGGACAGATTTCTCCAGTGTTGTTGATGGAGCAATGTCCGGACACCCGTGGAAGGTTGGCGTAGGGATGAGGAGAATACCGTGAGGGTATGTTTTGAGAGAGCGAGCTCTCAACCGATCCAGGAGAACTCCTGGAGTGGCGAGATCTCATTCGCGACGGGTTTTCACGTGATGTCGGCCTTTGTCCCCGTTCCGAGAATCTACACGACCGAGCTGAATGGCCAATTCAACTCTGAAGCACCGTTTTGTATCTCCAATCAGCCCAAATAAGGTTCGTGACGACGTGATCTGTTGATAGCGAAGCACACAGTACATATACATAAATATGCCACAATCGCTCGAACTTCATCAGGTTTTATCGAGCCCATTTGTCGTTCGAGGGATCCCTCGATCCCGAAGTAAAAACGGAGCACAAGGTTCGACGACGATCCCGTGGTCGTATCCAATGCGTAGACACCGTCGACACTGCCACTACCGAGGGGAGAATACAGTCCTCTCAAAACTCACCATATTAGTGTCGTTCCCAAGAAAATGTACATGTAGGGATAAAGCTGAGTGTGTATGCCTGGAAGGGAAAATATCTTGTTAATGAACGAGACTTTGTTGCTTTATTATTCTCTCCCGTCGGCACAATCGACGAATTTGATGAGCCCGCGGGTCGCAACAATATCTGCTACGGTTTCCGTTCACAGGATCGATATCTTGGCGGGAAGTGTCGGTGTGCGATCGGCACTTTGTTCGCATTTATGTATTTATGTGTGCGTGTACATAAACGCCAAGGCGCGTGATCATAATGGGAACATTCACGCGCTGCCACCGTCGGTGTTACATAAGGCCGAGGCACGTACAGGTGATTTAGATACAAGTTACGCGCCAAATTAATCACAGCCTACCGGCCGCCATCCAGCATACACACGCCGATGCGTGTCCAACTTGCTAATTTCCAATAGTGATTAACATCCGCGAGTCAGCGCCAGAGCTCCCGACTATTCCTGCGGGAGCGTGTGTGAGAAGTCGAACGGCGATCATAGTGCGAAAGGAGAGATCTATTGATGAACCTCCGGGTGAGAGATCGCCGTTTCGGATCTGGCAAAGGAATCGTCAGAGAAAATCTGGCTCGATAGATCCGCGCAGGAATAACTTCTACTCTTGACTGACGCAGAAGCGCGGATGGAAATACGACAGGCTGCATCGCTAATGAACCAAAATCCCGACCGAGGAGAACTTCTCTGAGAAGATCACGAAAAGGTAAAGATGCTTGGGATCCACTATCACGGACGAAGTTTCGGAATGAGTCTCGGAGCTTTCTCCGGGTCTGGATCACGGTATGCGCGGTCTTATTCCCCGGAAAACCTCTGACGAGGCTGCACGACGATGCTCTGATCGATGGATGACCGAGATTCACCGAGGCTCCAACACTCGTGCTGCGCACGGTCGATCATCGAGGTGCGCGAAGCCTAAACGTGATCGAGGAACTCGATCCGAGCCGAGGGTCACTAGTTGCGTTTATAGCTCGGAGAGCCCATGGCGACCGGGAGCGGTTTCCGCATGCGAAGTACTCACCCATTGTTGTTGGTGATGCGACGACGACGGCGGCTCACGAGGGGGCTGCTCGAAGCAGAGGTGCTTCAACGAGTGCTTGTTGTAACTGCAGATGAATCCGAAGGGATGAAGCCAGCTAGCCAGCTATTATAGCTAGCCAGTCTGCCTGTTTGCCAGTTAGCCAGTGAGCCAGCTAGCCGTCAGCCAGCTCTCGCTCGGCTGCTTGTTGGCTGGCTGACTGGGAAAAGCGACTGCTGGGCTGCAGGCTTTTCGGCAGGCGCACACTGGGCCCTGGATAGTTCGTTTACCACCGCATATTTTCCGGGAGGGGTCAACTTGACAACTTTGTCAGGGTTACCGATGGCTAGCCGCGAAATTCGACGCCATTGCCTGCCTTCCTGCCTGCCTGCTCGCTTGCTTGCACGTAGATACGGAACAATGTCAAAACATCGCAACGTGTGTGTGGAGCTTGAAGGCGGACCGCGAGAGGGGCCCGGCGGCGGGAGGAGCGAGAGAAACCTAGTTCAGAGGGCCCCCATCACTCGCCTGCGTGGTTCGCTGCTCTGCGTGCGCGCCCTACTCGCTCGGCTTTCCTTGCGTCCTCGTCGTCGTCGTCGGCGGCGGCTTCGGCCTGTATCGGTCGCTTGCTTGCTCACTCACACACTCGTCCAAGCGTCCGTGCGTCCGCTCATCCGCGCGCTTGCACGGCTCCCTAGTTGCCTGCCAGTCCACTCTTTAGTCTGCTCGCCAGTTTAGTTGGAGGCTTGCTTGCTCCGTCGGTCTGTCGTTCCGACGGTCTGTAGGTCCGACGGTCGCTCGGTCGGTCGGTCGGCGGGTTTGTTGGAAAGAGAGAACGAAGGCAAGCGGTCCGTCTGTCCGTCCGCCCGCCCATCCGTCGGTAGTTCTGTCGACGGTGGCGGCCGTGGAGGCAGCGGGCTCCTCTGGCAAGAGGGTGAGGGAACTTCGAAGAGTACGTCGACGGTTCGGTCGGTCGCCAGCTTGGACGCTTGTTCGGAGGGACCTTCCTTCCTTCCTCCCTTCCTTTTTCCTCCGACCCTTCCTTCGTTCTCGGATTGAACTCTCCTGCCGCCTGCCCGCCTGCTCCCTCGCCGAGTGGCTGGATGGCGGGCTCAGCGAGCGGGCGAACGGAGCCCTCGCCGGGCCCCCGAGCCCAAGGCACGGGCCGCCGGTGCTGCCTCCACCGCCGTCGTCTCCTCCATCGCTGCGGCGATGGCGGCGGCCGCTGCCCCCGCCAACGGATGAACGACGGACTAAGAGAGAGATCGGTCGGTCGGTCGCGCGACCGGGAGACGGACAGACTCGCCAAACGAGGGCCCGACAAGCCCCCTTCAACGGCGGGGCTGCAACAGGACTCGTTGTTTCTTCTCCGCTCTTGTTGTTCCCTCCCTCACTCTGCCAGTCTCCTATTCGGTCGTCGGCTCCTTTGACGCCAGTAATCAGGCCCGACAGCGACGACGTCGACGACAACGAAGGTTGAAGCGAACAACTGAGGACCGACGCGACGTAAGCAACCGACGTACAAACGAACCAACCAACCAACCACTGACGGCCAGTCGACTGAGTCAGTGGACCGTCTCTGCTTGGACAAAGGGAGCGTGGAACAGAGCGATTGAGAGGCCAGAGGAGCGAGCGAGCGTTCGCTCTCTCGACGCGGTGACACGTCTGCTCGGCGTCCGCGACGGTCGAGTCCGTTAGTCCTGACTTCGCTTGTCGTCGTGGTCGTCGATTTTTTCGCTGACTCAGGGTTTGAAGGAGTTCTCGAATGATTGAGAGCGAAGGCTACGAGAAAATGTTCCCAAGAATTTAAACCGATGCCGGCTGTGAGTTCCACGAATAATGTTCGAGTCCTTCCCGGATTGAGCTCGATTGGGAAAACAAACGCGAGTCTGCGTCGCGTCGATCGAGGACGCAATGATTCCGTTTCTGACCCTCCGGCGTAACTTCTCTCTCTCGGCACCTGGTCACGAACGGATATCCGGTCTGGTCCGTCCTGGCGTTGAATTGTCCGACGGGAGAACCAGGTAGACTGTAGATGGAGGCGAAGAAAACTCGAGTCCCGCGATACGTCATCGCCCGTCTGTCCATATGCTGTCCTTCACAGGATCGCCGAAGGATTAGTCTCGTTACGGTATGCAGGGACGGGTGAACGACGTCAAAGGGCCAAGGCTCAACGAATCAGTCCTCATCATGGAATGCTGCCGTAGGATTTCCTGGCGTGGGGTACGCTGCCGACGCGATGTCTGACTTACTTGTTTTCGCTTGTTATTGGTTCATCCGAACTCTCGGTGGCCTGCGTGCCGCCGCTAGAGCTCTGCGAGAACTGGAGCCGGTGAGAGGGAACGAGGATTTCGTTGATCCACGTCTTTTCGTTCATGTTTCTTCCACTAGCCCCAGGATGTTGGTTCAAGTCGTTCTCGGTAACATCGACATCGTTCAGAAACGACGCATCTGAGCTTTTGACGACGCGAAGGCGAAGATAACGCGGCGACTGACTGACAGACACGCTAAGGGAAGAGCAGGCCGTCTGAGTGGTTAAGTGGACACCTTCAAGGGCACATGTCGAAGATTTTCAACGTTAAATCGAGAGTGTTATGACAACGACCCAAAACTTCGAGGGGAGGCAACGTCGCCCTCGTTGCTCGTGGAAGAGGGAATCCCCGTCCGACCGGATGTCCTGATCGTTTTGAGTCTCGTCCGCCTCGTATCCGCTCGCGCGATTTTCTGCCCCACCACTTACATTCGGTGCGTGGAACCCCGTTCGACATTACACAGAAGATCGGCGGACTTCGGCCGAGTGAGGGCAAGGAAACGAATCGGCACGTGCGTCACGAGCCGATGACGCAACAATACGGATTACGTCGCAATCCGTGACGCGTCCTCACGATCGATTGCAGCCTTGATGAGCGTAATCGTACCCCGAATACTCAGCGAGTGACCGGCTCCCCCGCTCAGTTTGATGACCCGACGAGTAAGCCCCCGCCATGCTCCGACCCGGAACCGAGTTCTCGACGATTTCGTAGATGGTAAATATGTGACGTATTTTCGATTGCTCGCCATACTTCTAGAACTCTCCGGCATTCGAGGCGCGGGATCGAAACCGCTTGCGGGATTTCGGCACGACGAGTAGGAGAATTCCTCTCGCTCAACGGCGCTGACGGAAGCAATCAGAGCCGCTTGGCGACGCGGGGGGGGGGACAGATCTTAAAATACGGGAGATCGATATGCCAATCAGGGGCCTCTTAGGAGATTTCGTTCGTCAGCCATCGATTTATCGTCCAATTTCGAACCATCTCGACATGTCGAACGACCTACAGGAAGAGTTTCAGATCCTGTCTCGAGAAAGTCGACGCGCGAACGATCGTACCCGCAGGTGCCGACGGTCCCGTCGAAACGGTCCGCACGGGACATCGAAGAGACCTCACGACCGGTGTCTCATGGTGAGGCTGGAAGAAAATCGCGGAGCGTCATTCGAAGCAGCGGTATCCGAGGCTACCGCGCGAGGAAAGATAATGACAAAGGCGAACTCGATGAATGCACTCCCGCGAAGACGCGACCGGGTTCCATATTCGTGGATTGGGAGCTTTTTCCCCTCCACGTTGCTTTCTGGGCACTCAAAAGATGAAAAGAGAATGACTGCTCCCAAAGCCTTTGTTGTGAGCCCCCCTTCCCCCCGATGTCGTTGCCGTCACTGCCTGTCAGCAAGGAGTAAAGAAAACGTGTGAGCTGAGGAAGCTCCGAAGAGTTAGGCTCGATGTTCAGACCTGTCGGGCCGAAGCCTCGTTCGCCCACTAGTTCGCTAAGGCGTTGCTTGAAGTAAAGCGTCGTTCCTCCACAACCTCACCATCGAGTAAACGGCTCCTGCAGAGCTCCGCTTTCAGCCAGAGGAACGGTAGAGGAACGAACGGTAGGGACTATTGGGAGAGATCACCGGGAGGAGAAAACGACCGAGAGCGTTATAATGAAGCAATACGTGCCCGATGGCTCCCTGACGGACGGACTGAGCGGCGGGAACGATGCCCTTCGGTAAACGTTTCGGGAACTCCGTCCTGGTGAAGGGACCCGAGGAAGCCGCAGATTTCCCTCCATGCAAATCTCGTCTACATCGATCGGAACATTCGATCTGTTCGTCTCGCGGATAGGCGATCAAATTCGCACAAACTTGCAGCTTTAGGCAGCTGCAGGCCGAGAAGACGCCGGGAAGAAAATTCGATTTGGAGCCTGTTTGCTATCAGGAAGAAGTTCGGTCGCTTGCTCGAGTGCTCACAGCTCTTGGGTGCAACTGTAATAATTTTTTCCCCTCTTATTTCTCCATGCTCCGACACCGGTCGATGAGCGGGACTGGGCATTAGGCCGTATCGGAATCAGCATAAATTATTTCGGCGAGTGATTCTCCGCAACACAGAGAACCAGCAATTGAGAGCGAGTTCGATCTCTATTCGATCCGATGAAGCAGCTTCCGACGTCGGCGTCGCTTCTCCGCTCCATCGGTGGGTCGGGCTGACCTTCCGCTGCTCTGAATCGCGCGATGTTTTGTCGAGTGCCCGGCTGAAGCACCGAGTGATGCCAAAGGATCGGTCGGGTTTAGACAGACGACGGACTCGGAGGATTTAGTGTTGGAGCAGTCGTTCACTACATGTACTTGGACCTCTCATTAGAGCAAATTACTTCGTGGCCCGATCCGCCTGCCTGTTGAACCGACCGGAATGCTGATCTGTGTGGAAGAGGCTTATTATAGACCTCATATCGAAGTTTTGACGCACGCCTAGCATCCTGGCCAAGGACCCGGCGTCGGAGTGAATATCGAGAACGACAGTAGAAATTCGGAAGTAGAGTCGTACGTGTCAGCTTCGGTCGGGGCCCCGATCACTCAGTGTGTGTGTGGACAGCCAGAAGCGCACTCCAAGTATGAGGCGGAATAATCGGTGACCGACGAACGATATTGTTCCTCATGCCGAGGTCTTCCCTCCGCGCGAGGGAGCCGAGTTCAGTTTCGTCATCGTACGT